ATAACTCTACACTACAGCTATATGTACTAACATACAAATTACATATATACATATACACACAATTATGCAATATATCCAACTATACACATATAGTACGTGAACTTACAAGTTATACATATGTACATGCATGTGCACAAATATTCAGCTATATGTGAACAAATAGGTTCACATGTTCATACAACCACATAGATGCAGTTACATGTACTTACATACAAACCACATATATACACAAACTTATAGATATATAAGATATAAACATATATAGATACTTATAGCTACTTACGAGCTTCACAAATATATATACATATGCATGCATATATACAGCTACATATACTTAGAAGCTACACATATACATGCATATACACACAGTGACACACATATATACAACCACATTAAATGCCTGTGTATACATATATAAAAACAATATATGTTAATAGAATACATGAGAATCTGTATTTTAAGGTACTGTCCCTTAGCACAGACAGGTCTCTTCTGTGGAGAAAGCACAGCAGCAGCTGTCTGGGGCTGGAAGCTGACACAGAAGTACACAAGGAACTCCAGGCAGTGATGGAAATGTCCCACATCTGGCCTGTGGGAAAGTGGTGTCAACTCATGTGCACACTCCCTCGGAACTCAGCCAACAGTATACACAACAGGTTCACTCATTGTATATAAATCCTGCCTCAACAGGGATAATTTTGAAAAGAAGCGTGTTGAAGGTACCCCATGTTCACAAGCAGGCGTGTGGTTTATTGTCAGCCCCCACTCCAGACAGCGGCAGTAGCCCTCCCTTTGAGAGGGCTTCACAGTGAGTTTTAGCAGATGGATATATGAGTCATTTGTAAGAACCAGCAGCTGTAATGTTTGTGCGTAGTTGTATGCATGTAATGCAGAAATGTCATGTTACAATTGTGATGTTTGCTACACAACTTTATCCATTTGTTAACACTCACTAAATTGGACACTTAAAATTGGTGAATTAGACTGTATGTATATTTCAAAAAAAACTGAATTTAAAAAAGGGAAGGGCTGGATACATGGCTCAGTGGTTAAAAGCACTTGCTCTTGCAGAATACCCAAGTTCAGTCTCCAGCACCCATACATACCTACATACATACATACATACATACATACAATTTTAAAAATAAATCTTAGCCAGGCATGGTGGCACACGCCTTTAGTCCCAGCACTTGGGAGGCAGACAGGTTCTTCGTACCAGCCTTGCGGTGCAGCTCGTCGATGTTCTGGGTGATGACAACGACCCGCCGGCCCTGGTCACGCAGCCGGGCCTCACACTCAGCAATGGCCAGATGCCCAGGGTTGGGCTCCTTGCTCCGCATGACCTCCCTTCGGTAGTGGTAGAACTCCCACACTCGTGATGGGTTGCGGGCAAAGGCCTGAGGAGTTGCCAGGTCCTGTGGGGAGAGAAGCAGTCAGGGAGGGACCCATGGAGGTGGAGACTGTGGCTATGAGGCCAGGCTGAGGCCTATCAGCTCAAGGCCCAGACCAGGCAGTAACAGCCTAGATCCCAGTCCTGGGACCAACCCATGTTGTAGACAGGTTGCTCCTAACTCCCCACCAACAATGAGACAGAGGCTATGCAACCTGTCTCACCCCACAAGTAAGTTATGAGCAGGAGGGGAAGTAACATGTACCCTCCTACAGAATCTCCTCTCCCAGAGTCCCCCCAAACAGGAAGTCAATCTCACTGTGTGCTTTCTCCAGGAAAAACATGAAACACAGAATGCCCTAGAGAGATAAAGAAGTTACAACAGGAGGAAGCTCAGTTTGTAGGACTAGAGCTGGGCTCACACCTAGACACAACTGAACACAGCAGTGGAAGTGCACATCACACCACACACATACATGCACCTACACATGAACTATACATATGTACAGGCATAGACACACAACTGTACATACAGCTACCTGTATTTACACATAAACCACACACATACATGTACACATACAACTGT